ACCTGCGGTGGCTGGTGCAGCCCACGCTCATCTCCTCGGTAGCCCCATCACAGAGCCGCGGCCACCCCTACGGCGTCGCGGCGCCCAGCGGCGCCTATGCCCGGCCCACCACGCTCAAGGCCCGGGGAGCCCGCGGACAGAGCATCGGCCGCAGGGGCAAAGTGGAGCAGGTGAGCGCAGAGCCGGGCTGGGGCGGGGGAGGTGACCGGGGCTGTCCTTGCTGGTGGGCAAGGCTGGTGGCTGGCAGTGGGACTCAGGGGTTGCTCTCTGCCCACAGCTCTCTCCAGAGGAGGAGGAGAAAAGGAGAATCCGCCGGGAAAGGAACAAGATGGCAGCAGCTAAGTGCCGCAACCGGCGGCGGGAGCTCACGGACACACTGCAGGCGGTAAGTGCTGCCCAGACTTGCAGGCACCTCGGGCATGGGGGGTGGGGGGAGCATCGTGACTGGGGGTGTTGGGGTGTGAGGGCAACCCTGGCTGACAACCTGCCCTCTCCCCAGGAGACAGACCAGCTGGAGGAGGAGAAATCTGCGCTGCAGGCAGAGATAGCCAACCTGCTGAAGGAGAAGGAGAAGCTGGAGTTCATCTTGGCAGCCCACCGTCCTGCCTGCAAGATGCCTGAGGAGCTGCGTTTCTCTGAGGAGCTGGCAGCTGCTGCTGCGCTGGACTTGGGCACTCCTAGTCCCCCTGCCACTGAGGAGGCAGCTTTCACCCTGCCAATGATGTCTGAGGCGCCGCCAGCCATGCCACCGAAGGAGAGCAGCAGCAGCGGGCTGGAGCTCAAGGCTGAGCCCTTTGATGAGCTGCTCTTTGCCACAGGGCCACGGGAGGCCTCTCGCTCGGTGCCTGATATGGACCTGCCCGGGGCCTCCTCCTTCTACGCATCAGACTGGGAGTCACTGGGTGCTGGGACCAGCGGCGAGCTGGAGCCACTCTGCACCCCTGTGGTGACCTGCACCCCCTGCCCCAGCACCTACACCTCCACCTTTGTCTTCACCTACCCTGAGGCGGACGCCTTCCCCAGCTGTGCCGCTGCGCACCGGAAGGGCAGCAGCAGCAATGAGCCCTCGTCTGACTCGCTCAGCTCCCCGACCCTGCTGGCCTTGTGAGGAGCCCAGGCGCCTGCACTGACTGACCCGCTGGGCCCCTCCCTGCCCCACGGACTCACCGCTGTGCCCCACGGGTCCCCAGGCCTGGTGAGGGCCCTGCTGCTGCCGCCGTCATCCCCTCTGTCCAGCCTGGCCCTGCGGGGCCTGGCAGGGCGCCCTGCGCTGAGGCCTCGTACCTCTTCCAGAGATGTAGCAAGTCGCATGGAGTTTGTCTTGTCCCCAGTGGCCCATCCATGAGAGCTGGTAGTCTGTAGCATGTCCCACACAGCTGGGTTGGTGACTCCCTCCCATCCATAGTATCACTAGCATTAATTAGTTAATCTCTTGGTTTTAAATTATTGGAATTTAACCTGGTGCTGGGTATCTCCAACTCGTATCTAATGCAGCTGATTAACAATAACTACTGTGTTCCTGGCAATATCGTGTCCTGATGACTTAGAAATGACCCATCTTATGTGGCAGGGAGGGGAAAGAGACTCTATTTTATTTTGTAGTAGGTAGAAAAATAGCTATATCCATGTACTGTAGTTCTACATTGATGTTCATTGTAACTTTACTGATCATGCATTGTTGAGGTGGTCTGAATGTCCTGACATAAGTTTTCCATGAAAACGTTTTTATTGTGTTTTTAATTTATTTATTAAGATGGATTCTCAGATATTTATATTTTTATTTTATTTTTTTCTACCTTGAGGTCTTTTTTGACATGTGGAAAGTGAATTTGAATGAGACTTAAGCATTGTTTGCTTATTATTGTTCAGAGACATTGTCAATAAAAGCATTTAAGTTGAAGGCTGGAGTTGTCCTTGTGTTGGCCTCTTGTGCCATTTCCTTATGACCAAAGTGGTTCCCTCCCCTGTAATTGGGCTCAGAGTCATGAGCTGCA